TGGAGATCACCAATCCCTCTCGTTCCAATCTGCATCAGTCTGATGGGTTTCTCCCCAGCAGTCTGAAGTCTTTCTCCCTGATACATACCCTTCTGGCTGCTGTTCTGGCTCACGAGTTTTCAAGTCAGGACCTTTGGAGAGTGCTTTCGTTTTAAAGGCCTGTCCTTCCAACTGCCAAGCTGGGTAATCAGAGAAAGTGCTGATCCATCTCGCAGGGTCAGTATACTTATGAAATAAGGGAGACAGAAGACACTGCAAAGGATGCAGTGTTTGTGCTGCTGTTGCTAAAAGATGACTTCACTTAGCAGAACAAGGGGAAAAAACTTACTGAAGTCTGGAAAATAAGTTCGATTGGCCTATTGCACTGGAAGGCACACACAGACTTCTCTTCAGAGAATCTCTGTTCTGCTACTCAGTGGCTGCAAGACCATCTTGTGCACTTAATTAAAAATTTGAGTTCAGTTCCTCTATATGCAAAATGAACGTAAAGATATCTCTTCTTAGGTTTGCCATGAGGATTAAATAAATGCTGCCATTTATCGAGCATTGACTACAGCCCAGGCAGTGTGTGAAGCAAGTCTGCAAAGTGAATCCAATTTAATCCAGTTGTGCTACTCATGCGAGCCTCAGAGAAAAGGTTCTGGTGAAGAATTTTGCCATTTCTGTTTCCCAGGAAGTGGGTTTTTCTGTAGTGATGAGGACAGTTCTGGGCTCGAACACTTTACCGGTACACAAAGAACTTGGTGAAATTTCAGAGCTGACACACACGTCTTAGGGTTGTGCTTATCGAATATGGTAGCCACTAGCCACATGGGGCTATTGAAACTTAAATAATTAAACTTAGACTAAACTAAAAACCCAATTCCTTAGTCATATTAGCCACATCTCAAGTGCTCAATGACCACATGGGGCTAGTGGTTACCATATCAAATAGTGCAGACATACAATATTTCCACCAGCGCAGAAAGTTCTATTGGACAGAGCCTGGGGACAGAAAATAAGATATGGGAGGAGAAATAAGAGAGAAGTCAACAGGAGGGCAGGAGGGTCCATTCCATGGAGGTTCCTGAAATTTTGGCATATCTTCAATAATTTTCCATGGTTAATAGGGGGAGGCTGTTCCCCATTTTGTCCTGATAAAGTACTCTCTGGGGTATTGGGATTGTTTTATAGGACAGCTTTAGAAGCTATGGTTACTAACGGTCCAGCACCACTCAAAGGCATTAAATTTTCAGATCTTTTACTAATTAGCAAAGATAAAACAAGGACATTTTTAAAAAGTCATAAAGAATCCACTCCTACAAACTAAATGCCCCCGCCCCCACCATCTGCCCTGACAATGTTAATTCTGATAAGTCAGCACTTAAGGAATAGTTTTCCAAAGATAAATCATGAGCTAATTATCAGCATCTGGGGAAATGCTTCACAATACTCCGGGATGCAAGGAGTCATCAGTGTAGGTATAACCTACCTCTCTTCTAGTTCTCTAACCTGCTCTCAACCTCCCTGGGCTACACAAAAAGTTTCTTATGAAGTGCAAATGTAATCACAATGCCCAAATTCAAAAACTTCACAAATTCCCTTCACAATCTAACATTGCCTCCTACCGCCCCCGCTCCCTGCCCTGACAGCCTCCTGCACTCAATCCCCCAGCAATAGCCTCATTCATTCATTCATTCAACAAATATTTATCAAGCACTGCCATATGTTACACATGATGCCAGGTGCTGAGGATATAGCAGTAAAGAAAACAGAAAACAAGATCAGACCCCTCTCCTCACAGAGCTTACAGTGTAGTGGGAGAAGGCCGACAGCAGGTAAGTAAATATTTAAGACACATAGAATTCCAGAGTCCAAAAAACGAGCAGTGGTGATATTAGGGGGACTTCTCTTATATTTACACATTATAGTAATTATCTTCTTAAATACTTTGAAACTGTCATTCATTCATTCAATACATTTTTACCGAATACTGACTACATGCAGGGCAGTGTTCTGAGCACTGGGGCAAAGGCAAAGACAGACAAAAGCACTGGCCTGGGCGAGAGTACATTCTAGTGGCAGAGAGAAGCAGCAAACGGACAAGGCACTGGAGTCGTTCAGATGAACATATGTGCTCAGGGGAGGGTAACTTAGGTGAAGAAAGACGGGGTGGGTGCTGTTCCTGCCTACACAGAGGGCCACTGCAACCTGGACATGCAGCGACTTTACTGCACAGCTCACTGTTTGCTGGCACACGTTGTCCCTGCCTTGTACACCCGCCACCGCCTCCTGCTCCTCCAAGCCCTGACTGCAACAGTCCCTGCTCCCTGGAGCTTTGGCTCTCAGGCATAATTACTTGCTCCCTCAACTGGGTCCTCCTTGTACGTTGGAAATGCCTTGGTTTATCTAGTATCATACAATGCTACCTCCTATTTATGTATTTGAGTATATGTTATTCCATCTAGGTTCACATTCCTAAAGGGCTGGGACTGTGTCTCATCCATCTTCATTTATTCATTCGAGAAACTTCATGGAACACCACTCATGAACCTTGCCCAGCGTCCCTACCGTAGAAAATAAAAGGGGGACCTCTGTCATTTTGACCTTACTTGGAAAAGACCTGCTTTTCTTTCCACCTCATTCACCTACCACTGAGGACTAAGGTGCCACTTAAATAGAATAACACAATGGCAAGTGTTCAGAATAGCAGCAAGAACATGAAGACTGTTCAATAAATGTGGGCTGTTTTTATCACTATGATTACTAATCTAAATGAATTTTTTGTGTGTCCACTGTTTTCTAACAGCATTACTTCACCCATTATCCCGTGCACTATTGAAATGCTTCTGATTTTAGACTCAGACTTGAGTAAGCTGAACCCCTAGCACGGCTCTGGTCAACCCGACAGCAGGCGCTCCAGGACCTGGGAATCCTGCAAGGCCTCTCTGCTAGGACAGCTCACACCTGAAGTCACTGTGCTGAGCTCGAGGTGGTCACTGAACCTTGACATCGTCCCTGACACTCTCAACACTCAGACATGATGGAGATGCTCTTTGTTTTCAAAGCTGACAGGACTGGCACAGTGGTGGCTCTCTGCCCCACCCTGAACTGCAGAACTGCTCCACTTCATGAGTTTTCTCTGCTGTTCAACTCTTCATACCACTGTCACCAATTCCCCGGGCACTTTCTCTCTTATTCCTATGTTTCTCTTTTCTTCTCTCTTATGTTGCCTATATATTCACTTTAACAAACAAACAACCAAACAAAAAAAAAAATCTCAGCAGCTCGCTCAGCCAGACAAAACTGAGCCTGACACTCAAACATTCCACTTAAATAGCTATGAGACCCACTTTGGGCAGACATGTCTTTGGACCTCAGAATGTTCTCTTGTAAAATAGGGACAACATGACCTGCTCTCAGGGCAGTTGGGAGGTTATACATCTCTTAATACGACACAGTATATGGAATTGTTACTAGCACCACTGTCATTCTGTGTCTACTTTCAAATTTAGGAGCATTCTGGAAGCTTGAGGATGCTAAAATGTTTTCTAAAGGCTGGCCACCTACTACATGTGATTATGTAAAATGCAACTCAAAAATTATTACTTAGGAAGGAGCAGGAGGCTATGTTTTTATATATAGCTGCACACGGATAGGAAGAGGTTTGGGGTCATTATAACCTCATCCATGGAGTGCCAGACAGAACCTCTGATAAAGGTAGTTAAAAAGATGAATGCATATTCTCAGCTGAGCTATCCCAGCCAGGCAGGACTCAATATTTGAAAGACAATGCTGGATGTTCATTTCAAGGTGAGAGAAAATTCTGAAGATGAAAGAATCTTCTCAAAACTTCCTTTTAATTAAAGTGTTGGTTGGCTACATTGCTCCCAAGCCTTAGCTCTTTGCCTATGAAGGGAAAATCGCAAGGGGCTTTGCCTAGACAATAAGCTGCTTAATCTGAGATTCAAACTCAGTCATAGGTTTTATTGCCCCATTTTTGTGCCCAGCATCGGGTAGGTGCTAAAAGCTTTTGAATTGTTTGAATTCCTAGGTCTTGTTGGCTAGTGCTGCATAGCTGAAACTAAGCAAAATTGTCTGACTAAATGAAAAGAAGAGGAATTCAAGACGTGAATGAATTACTATGAACCACAGACAAGGTCAGGGGCAAAAGAAAACCATTACAGAACCAGCTGTAATGCAAATTTCTGCTGAGATGAAGGCTGACCCTCTGATGGGCCTGTATGGCTCAATAAATGATAAGAAAAGTTTCATGGAATATTTGAAAACTAGAAGTATGCAAAGGTGTCACTGGCAGTGCTCTGCACAGAGTGGGTGCCAGAAAAGTGCTGACTTACTAAATGAGTGATGACAGAAAAGAGAAAAAGCAGGTGGATAAATAGATAACAGCAAGGAGGACGATGGGGACTGGCTGGACACTGGCAGGTGACAGATGAGCCAGTGCGTCACTAAGGGAAAAACAGCTGGATACTCCAAGCTTCCAGAGGAAGCCCTAGAGCTGAGAGGCACAAAGTGCTAGGAGCAGGGGCTGCACATGCCAAGGTGACAGAGCAGGTCCACACTGATTCCCTACTGTCAGGTGAAGCCAGGGTGGCTGGACAATTATACTGGCTGCAAACCACCTGCCAGGCACTGTGCTCTCCCTTTACATGTTATCTCCTATAATTGTGCCCCAAACCCAATGAAGTGGAAAGTGGTATCTTGATTGTTTCAGCTGAGGAAACTGAGCCTCTGAGTGACACACTCTGGCCGCACAGCAAATGGGAAGTGGAGTGGAGAAGGCACACGTTGTGCACTCTCAGACCATACATTCTTCCACTGACACAATTCCTAAGAGATGTAGAGAAAGAATACATAGCCCAAAGCAAGCTGCCGGTAAGCAAGTGATTTCTTTGAAGTCTCAATTTTTATTGTAATCATTTGTGCACATTTAAAAAATTTTACCTTACAATACACTTGTTTGTGTCTTAACTGAAAGAGAGATGTTTTAAATTACTTACCAAGTGTAAGGATGTGCTGTCCTAGTCCTGGGGGCTTTGGACAGTGCCTGACATGAGGATGAGAACCCAGGGGCAGAAGGGAGGACAATGGGGAGGGGGCCACGTGCACCCTGTTTTGAAAGGCAGTATATTCTGCCATGCCGTCACCTCTCGAACAATCTGTTTCCAGGGCAGAATAGATATTATCAGAGTATCCCATTAAAGTCAAGATTGTGTTCTAGTGGCTGAGTAAGTGAGGGGAGTGTCAGCACTCTGGTACACAGCTTGACTGTGCTCTCCCAAATTGAGAAACAACCTATCTACGCTACCTTCCTGCTAAAAACCATCTCTGTCCAAATGGATATCCCTATGAGCACAGTATTTTTTGTTTGATTTTTTAATTTTTATTGAATCATAATTGATTATCCATATTTTTGGGATTCAACACTGACATATGTTGATCAAATCAATATTATTTGCATATATATTGTTACGAATTGTACTTATTCTTTATGTTTTGTTTTTTTAATATGTCTACATCTGTCATTTGTGGAGGTGACAATATTGCTCAGCCTAATGGTGATGACAGCTGAATCTGCATGCTGGTACAGGTACTGGCCAACATGCTTTATTTACATGGAATGCCCAATTATCCCCTCTCAACAACCATATGAAGTAGACAGTACTATCATACCCATTTTGCAGATGAGTAAACTGAAGACACAGAGGTTGAACCACTCATCTAAGGGGTTTCTGCTGGGATGTTCTGTGGCTGGCATTCATATTCATACAGTTGAACCCAAGAGCCTTTAATTTGACACTGCCCCAGGCAGTTTGGCTCCTTGGTACACATTTGCATAGTACAAAACCAATAATAACACTGTGCCCATTTCCTGAAATAATTAAGAAGCCCCCTCAACCCATTTGCTGACCAGGGCCCTCTATCTTCTGACTGGGTAGCAGTCATGGACACCTGCTGTTTGTAAAGTGCACAGCAGTTGCTCAATGCCAGCTAAAGGTTCTCATCTAAAAAATACAACTCTGAGCACGGTGGTGTCCTCTCTGGCTAACACAGGCGCAAGAATACATGCTCATATGAAATTTGCTTTTCTAAACTCTTCAGCCCAGAAGCCAAGTTTGAGCATTAGTTAATGTATAGAAACCCGTGATGCTTAACGGCCGTGTAAAGCTGCTGAAAGACGGCAGTGCTGCACAGTGGTCGTGTGATGAAGCCAAAGAGCCCTGGGTGTGGATCTGAAATTTTTCCACTTACAGATTGTTGGGTCCTGAACACTGAATCTAACTGATGTGCCTCAGTATCCCCAGTTGAAAAATGGAGATACCAATACCTGCCTGTTGGTGATGTTGTGAAGATTCACTGAGATATGCTTCCCCAGGTTAAATGTTACCTGATGACTTGAGCAAATACATAAAGTGACTGGGCTGCTACTAAAATACACCATGGATTAAAGTATGTGTAAGTGCTGAGTACAGCACCTAACACACAGCGTTCAATGAATGGCAGATGATGATGATGACGATAATGATACCTCCTTTAAAATATTAGATACAGTATTTTAGTGCAGCCATACTTTTTCTTAATAGGGTGAATCAATAACATCAATATCTTATAAGTGGCTATCTTTTAAATGATTTCAAACTGATTTCCCACCAATTTTTCCAAATGATATTCAAAACTGTACTGGCAGGTAGGTAGGTATCTCAACTAATATTATACTCATTTTGCAGATGAGAAATGTGAGGCTCTGCAAGATTAAAAGACACGTATAAAACCACTAAGTTGGTATTGCTGTCGCTGCCAAGCCCAGAGATCTGATTCTCCTTTTTCCCGCTGCCAGTGCTGCTTCCAAACCACCTTCAGGTTGTACAAAATCACAGTGAAGAAAGAGAATCAGCTTCTCCAGGATCAGAAAGCAAGTCCGTGAGGCCAGGCAGCTGTCCTAAGGTCCCTATCCTCTCACTGTGCTGACTCTACACAGATAACCATACCCCAGGGCTCCGGGGAGAGCCCCACTCCACTCAGTAGTGCCATCCCGGCCCCAAGTCTGGAACTGTTGCTGATGTCCTCCTCTCTTTTCTGTCCCTGCAGATCAGCAGCAAGACGTATGTGAACTAGACCCAGACCCCACTCCCTAACACCTCACCCCTATACTTGCCACCTTCAGGGACACTGGCTTCCTTTCTCCCGTAGGTTCTTTCCATTTTGCATCTAACCTCTGCCTAGAACACTCTTCCTCAGCATCTTCTCTTGGCTTAACCTTCTCATCCTTCATAAAGTTCTACAGCAGCCGTCCACCCCCACCCCCCTGGTCTCTATCGTGTTCCACTTCTTACATCCTTTATAGTAGTGACCACCATCTGAATTATCTTGCTCATCAGTGATCTGTCAAGTTCCCTGGCTGCCTTAGTCACTTTGTGTAGTGTATGAAATATAGTGCAAAATGAAAGTTTTCCACCCGCAAAAAAACTTGCCCAGGAGAGCTCAAAACTGAAGTTTGTATTTCAGTACAAGTGGTTTTAAACAGCTAAGGACATTAACAGGCCATGATCATGACAGATTCTAACTGGACCTGCTATAGTCTGAATGTTTGTTTTCCTCAAAATGCATATGTTGAAATCCTAATCACCAAGGTGACAGTATTAGGAGGTGGGGTCTTTGGGAGGGGATTAGGTCATGAGGGTGGAGCCCACATGAATGGATTAGTGCCTTTATCAAAGAGGTCCCAAAGAGCTCCCTTGCCCCTCCCACCATGTGAAGACACAGCAAGAAGGTGCCATCAATGCACCAGAACCCAGCCCCTCACCAGACACCAAATCTGCCAGCACCTTGGTCTTGGACTTCCAGTCTCCTGAAATGTGAGAAATAAATTTCTGTTGTTTACAAGCCACCCAGTTTACGGTATTTTGTTAGCAGCCTGAAGGGACTAAGACAGGACTAAAGGGACACTCTTTCTCCTTTCCTAGCCAGTGGACCATGCTACTTATTTCAACAACTTTGTGCAAGCCTATAAACTCATTCCTGCTCAGACTGCAGCTTTCAGACTCTATCTCCCACCCTTTTGCACTTAAAAACTCCTAACTTTTGTCCTCTGTGATCTACTCAGTAAATTTCTACAATGGCATATGTTCCCTTACCTGGCGAGGAAATAAATAATACATTCCACTTTGTTTTGTTTCTTTTTTGATATTTACTTATTTTTGTCTTTGGTCTTATCAGTGAAAACAGGGCTTTTCTAGAGTATTCTGTGATACTTGGAGAGACAGTATATGTAGGAACTCAAATCCCAGACTCTGGATCAAGACTGACAAGTTCAAAGACTAGTTCTGCTATTTTCTTAGGCAACTGAAGAAAACACACTATGTCTTAGTTTCCTCACTATAAACTAAGACAAAAACAACCATGCCTGCCTCATGGTGACTGGCCCAGAGTAAGGTCTAGGTAAGTGCCAGCTACCATATCCTGCATAATGTCTAAAAAGAGTCTTGTACTTAGGTAAAGATAATTCACATACGATCACTGCTAGAAGCTTAGGGCTGTATTCTTGTCAATTTTTCAATGTAACAAAACATACAACGTGTCTGGCACATGTTCAATAAATGAGAACAATTCTTCTTTTAGAGCAAGGCATGAATATCAATGCAATATACTATTCATTGCTTCCAACTTTTTACTAATGCTTTGCTGAATAGCTGAAGTTAACATAAGTAACAATTCCTAATGATAACCACTGTATATTACCTGCATCTTAGTGTTTTAGAAGAGCATTTATATCCTTGATCTCAGTTCATCTACAGTGTTCAAAGCAAGGTTCACAGAGTGCTCGTTTTACAGATGGGAAAACTGAGGGTCAGAAATGGAATTGTACCTTGTCCCTGACCCCACAGGATCAAATTTAACTCTTTTGCAAATTGCATTTCCTTGTACCTCAAATAAGGGTAACAGTCCTTCAAGCAGGATTGTTCTCTTAAAATAATCTCTAGGACTCCTTAGAATTACTTGGTAGAAAAAAGCAAGCTGTGATTAGGACATTTCCTTCTTCAGAACAAGTCATGAGGGAGGCTGGATATGTATATTAACGATGTTGCTGTTGTTAAAATTAGTGTTCATAGTGGCTGCATGTCTTGAAACTGCCCTCAGATCCTAAAACATATTCTTCTCAACACCTAAGGGCCAGTATATCTTTCCCTTTGAAAGTTGACTTAATTTGCAGAAAAAGCCAAGAATCTCATGTGCTTTGAAATCTTGTAATAAGATGGGTGGTGAAGGAGGAGAATAAGCATTTGTTCTTTTAAAAAATAAAACTGACTATAAAACAGAGACTTGTATGGTTTTAAAGGCAATTCTGTATATGACTTTTGGATGGACATCTAGAGCAGCCTCTTTGGCACTGCATTTTGCCTGCTGTCTTCCATAGGAGGAGGCTAATGCTTTGTACCAGGGTGGATTCTGAGGTCAGAGTGGACCCCAAGTCTAGGGCTTTCTGCCCTGAATGTGGTTAGGGCAATCAAGGGAGATGCTTGTAGCAGGCTAGTGCTTCTAGCTTCCTCCTGTCTCCTCTCTTCTCCCATTTTGTGGCAGGATTAGGTGGAACTGATCTCACTCCTGCTCAAAGTGTGGACCCTGTCTGATTAAGGCAATCAGCATAATCCACTGTATAAGTCCATTTCTGTTGCTTATAACAGAATACATGAAACTGGGTAACTTACAAAGAAATAAAATTCATTTCTTACAGTTTTGAAAGCTGGGAAGTCCAAAGTCCAGGGAACACATGTGCTGAGGGGGCCTTCTTGGGGGTGGTGATTCTCTACAGAGATGCAGAGAATCACATGGCGAATGGCTAAGAAAGAGAGAGCTAACCTGCTTACTTGCTCTCCTTTTAAAGCCATCAGAACCATGCCCATGACCACCCATTAAACCATCATTGGGTTAATTCATTCTCAAGGGTACAGCCCTCACAATCTAATCACCTCTTAAAAGCCCCACATTTCAATTACCATAATTGGATTTCCCACCCTCTTAACACTGTTACAATGGAGATTAGGTTTCAGTGAGTTTTCGGGGGACATTCAATCCACAGCATCCACTTATTTAGCTATGCCAATTGGTTAAGGAGGGGGCATGTGACTTGAGAAGACACTATCAGAGTAAGGCATAGGGC